GAGTTGCCTCAGTTCGTATCAGTCTTATCCTGCTATTCTTTTTTGCCCCCAACAGCAGAAAATCAAAACTTGCGTTGTCAGTACCTGGGCACCACAAGGTGGCTACAGCCTAATCAGCAGATAAAAGTAAACACAAATGCGGACTCACATGCCGAGTGGAACAAAATAGCAACTGAAAATCTAGGTGTTATTACCTACCGTCTGGATGGCGCTGTTAGACCGAGCTCTTAGACGCCTACGTTTGTGGAATGTCTGTAGATCCCACAGCACGGCACCGTCGGACGCAGTGGAAAGCATAAGCATGCCAGCATTCGGTTGTACGGAGATAGTAGACACATTGGACGTGTGACCTTGCAAGACTTGGATCTGGTCACCATGCTCTAAGACAGATGAGATAGACAATAAAAACAACGATTGTACGGTCGCAACGATGACGCATACAATAAAATGGCTTAACGGGGAAGTATGCCGAAACAAGTAACATTCTGTAGCCTTCGACAAATTTCGGGAGTTCAGTGGGGACGGGAGACTTCGTTTAAGCTATGACTATAACACGAAACTAAACTAACCCAGAAGTTGGCACATGTTACCTTGACTAAAAACACTGGCAATCAAAAAAGGAGTAATTTTTCTCCCTCTTAGTTGTAGTTAAAACACGCTTTGAGCTCTCAGTAACAGCTGTTATGAAAAATAAACATCAATGAGGAGCAGGCGGAACTCGCGTGATGAGAATGAGACGTGGCTTGGTTCAAAAAGGGAAAGACTGAACACGCACGGACAATCTAAGCCGAATCATACAACATGCAGAAGTTAGGGAATCATGGTTAAAGTCGGATAACCTGAAAAACACCTGCACGTACCAGCACAGTATCTATAAAAGACGACCTATTTGAGCTTCATCTAGCGGGAAAACCTCTCAGAACCCTTCGCTATTCGGTCTGGCGTTCGACAAGGTTNCATCCTGTCGACCATCCTCTCTAACTACGCCATTGACTGGGTTCTTGGGAAGGCCCTACGGAAGAATGACTGTATTGAGCTTGCACCCGGGC